TAAATGTATGTGTCTTTATTGTGTTATCATGATATCATCAAACTTACTCAATTAAGGTACAGGCCCTGTTAGAAAAATTCATAATTATGTTCATATATACTGAAGATGGCTTCCAAATGAACAAACAGCCTGACCTTCATTTATTTCCTTTATTCATAACTTTAACCTAAACCAAAATGTCAACCCAGAATATATATGTGAAAAAAGCCTTTATTTGACCCCCTCTTACTTAATCTGAACACTTATATATACATATATTAACCAGCAAATTAATAGCTAGACTTGCTAGATAATAGATATCTACATGTACTTAATTAAAATAAAATTCGGGGAATCCTATCTATATCAACTGGTGAACCATTGAGGCCCTAAATTACTATGCACACATTGTTATTGTTCTGGTTGAGTCTGAAGTTGTCCTCCTTGTCAAGCTCCCTAAGAGAAGAGATATCCGAATAGATGAGGATGCTGCTGGTCCAATATAACTATTAATATGTAGATTTGACAGACAATGTACAATTCAACTCGGGTGCATAGAACCTATGCCCCCAGTTTTTACAGCCTGAATTGTTCATTGCAATGCTTCCATCCAACTGAAATTTTTTGACTCAAAATCTATTTAGTCATCATTCATATTTACTTACCTTGAGTTTTGTCATAGCATGTGTTCATGTACAACTGTAAATATGTATAAACAAATACGCATCTTATTTCATGTTAAATTCATATACAAAAAAAATGCATTAATTGTAATATAACATTCAAAAGCACCACAACTTGTTCTTTATCTTACTTCGAATTATTTTATTTCACAATTGATTACTGCCTTTGTTGCAATTCCATACCTTTCATGCCTCTCTTTGGACCATTGTTAAAGTTGAATGGCCTTGATTGAAAATTTATATCCTTTAATTAGAGTTCTGTTCCTATGTGAATCGGGGTAAATAACATTTCTAAAGACATGATACAATAGCTTTATCAAACTTTAATTAATTCTCAATCTGTATATGTTTTCTATTTATTCACTGTTTTAAGGAAAAGGGTTTTTTTTTTAAATGTCACAAAATATTTTGAATAAACTGATCAATACAACAAGCCCAAAGTTACAAAACCATACTCATATTGTAAGAATTATAACTATGTATATTCCCATTTCTAAACCCCCTAAAGATAGGCCAAGGGACCTAAGTATCTAAACATAGGCTACCATGTGTACGGATGTTTGACCAATGACCTTGAATAACATGGACCGAATAAAGTTGAAGTTCAGACCTATTTTTACATTAGCTCATTTTTTAAAATAATACTTCACTAAGTACGCTTTTCTTCATTCAAAATATGCTGATGAAGTTGGTTATTATTACCATAATGATATTTGTATATCTTGTACAATGTGCCAGTGTTTAAAGTATGGACGGGAGGCAAATCGATCTGTTTCAATCCAATGAAATATTTGCCATCGAGCAATATCAATGTTGATAAGATAATCCATGTTAATTCTTTGACTGAAACTTAACTTTAAAAACAGGAAATTATTTCATAATACAGAAAAATAAATCGGATACTTTCATCACCCACCTTTCACTTTCATTGATGCATAGAAAAGGGGAGATAACCCGTAAACCTAGTGACTACGTACTGACACTGTATGGATGGATAAATAAATTCCGGCTTATCTCATTTCTTCGATTTTTCACAAAAAGGAGGTGAATGATGACATATAATTAAAGGATAGAGCTTTGATAACGACGCATATTGTGAGATGAACTCAAATATGCGGTATTATTCCAATTTTATTGTATGGTTGTGAAGTGTGGGGTTATGGTAATGTTGAAATGATAGAAAGAGTACATTTAAAATTTTGTAAAAATGCTTTTTCATTTAAAACCAAGTACTCCAAATTTTATGATCTATGGTGAATTAGGTAGAGTACCTTTAAGTATACATATCAAAACAAGAATTATTGCATATTGGTCAAAAATTTTATATGGAAAACAATCAAAATATTGTTTTTTAATGTATAAATTACTTCGTGCAAAATTTGATAATGGACGTGAATCTAAATGGTTAAAGAATTTGAAATCAATTTTAGACAATTGTGGATATAGTAATATTTGGAACCAGAATCAATTATTTAATAGAAATTGGCTTATTAAAAGTTTGAAACAAAAATTACTAGATCAGTTTCAACAAAATTGGAATTCAACCTGTAAAGATTCTTCAAAAGGTGTGACATATAATCTATTTACACATTTACACTTTGGATGTCAATTTTATGTAGATAGCAGGTTAAATAATTATAAGAAACAAATTTTAGCTAGATTTAGAACAGCAAACCATAAATTACCCATTGAAACAGGAAGATGGGAAGGTATTGAAAGAATTAATAGAATATGTCTTTTATGTAAAAATGATCTTGGTGATGAATTTCACTATATTTTATGTTGTGAAAAATTAAAAGATGAAAGAAAATTGTACATTCCGAAATATTATTTTACAAGACCAAATATTATCAAATTTAATGATTTGTTTTCTTCAAAAAATGTTGGACTATTGAGTAAACTCTGTTCCTTTATTAAAATTTTAAACGAGAGAGTCAAACCTCCAGGTTAACATCAATGTAAACATATATGGAAATACTTGATTATAAGCACACTTTGTATATATGTTATATGTTATGCTCACGCATGTATGTATATATGTTATGATAATATGTATTGATCTCTGTGTTGTTAAATAACAACCAAAGAGATGTTAATAAACTGGTAAAACTGGTTGTTATATAACCATTAACGCCTTTTACAAGTTAAATACCTAAATATGAAATGATTTGTAAGACTCTGTGGTATCTTTTATTTCAAGCTCACTGGGATAAATCGCATCGATTAAAATAGAAATAACCATTATTAATTGAAAATACGTCGTCGATAAACTAATTGTCAAGTTGAAGGCGGCAGCAAGTGTTTTCTTCTTTTCGGTATAAGATTTTGGACGAATTCTGCTTCAAATGAATATGAATACAAAAATAGGTCTGCTTATAACAGGAAGCGATTGGTACCGATGGGAATTCCAATAGGTTATTGGAAGACCTGGTCTCCAACAACCATAAAGATATTGTTAATCAGAAACTTAAGCATCTTTTTAATTACTTAAGAGTACTTGTGTGTATAATTAGAATGATTTCTTAACAAAATAACTTTGCAAATGACCAATGACAAGCTAAATTATTTTACGAGTTCAATTTTTATTCAAAAAAAGCAGCTAAACCTGGAATTTTGAATCGAGAGGCCGATAACTATATTTTTAGAAACTGGATAATGAAAGTTTTGTTGTCTTGTACGAAAATAAAAAAAATTATACACCTTATAATAAACGTTTATTATAAATATAATTTTTTTTATTAAAAGAAAAATAAGTAACGTCAGGTTAGAAATAGGAGCATTTTCTTTGAGAAGATTTCAATACCTTTTATATATTATCTGACATATAGTCAATGCATATTTTGAGGTTTTATGTAAAAAAAAAATACATTTGGGATGTATAATATTAATTGTGCATTATGTAATGCAAACAAAAAATTGTAATATAAATGTATTATGTTTGTTTTTATGTTAATCAAAATGTTTTAATTTTTGTTTCAAACTATATGAAAGTAACAAGAATAATATAATTTACAGTTAAAGTATATTATCATTGAGGGATTTGCGCCTTAGGAAATCGTCCGGTCGAGGGGAACTAGAATCTTGTTTACTCCCTCAATGATATACTTTTTAACTGTTTTATTACGGTATACCGATACGAAAGTAAAAAAAAATAGATTACGAACAATGGGGAATTAGCTTTCGGAGCGGGGATTAGCTCACTTGACTAACGCAGGGTGATTTTGTAAAGTTACACATTATACCGATACAAAAGTTAAATCTAGAGGATTACGGATAACCGGAAATTAGCTTCCGAAGCAGGGGTTAGCTTATTTGACTAACGCATGGGCATAAGTCCATTTACAGTGATTTCTAGGGAATTATTCACATTTTACTATCTATTTTTTATCAAGAAATAAATCAGTAGAGTTATAAAAATTAATTTTAAAGACATCTTAAATCGCTGAATGAAATCAAAAAATCAAACATAATATAATGATGTCATTTGAAGATGTCGTAAATGATCTGTGCCGTGCCAAAAGCTATTTTTCATGCATGAGTAGTCTAATTCTCAAATCAAAGTCCGTATTGTACACGTTATGCAAGTTTAATGCAGATTTATCATAATACGATATATAGGCCTATAATATGTATTTACGTTAAAAGAGCACATTTTTTTTATCAACAAAAAAGACAGTGAAATGTCTGGCCTGATGTTTTAAAGCTTCCTTCACTAGTTATCACTTTGAAGTATTATTACCGTACTGCACTTATCACCTAATGTCTTTATCGCCACTTATCACCTGGGTGTGAACGGTATATTGTTTTAAATTCAATCAGGAGAGTCTTAAATCTTTGATTTCTCGTCCATGAAGATGATTATCTTGCAGTGCTATAAATTTAAGAAAGAAAAAGAGTAAAATAGAGATATACGAAATGTCTTTATATTTAAACAGGATACCATTGCCTCCTTGTAGAATCGTTTTCTTACAGAACTTTCATCAAGAAATGATCATTTTTCTGACCGTTATACAGGACGAAGGCAATGTTTTGCTTCTTAGATTTTTGTTTATCATGTGCACACATGAAGTGAAAAACATTGAACTGATATATTTAAACAAATTAGTGAAAATTAATGGAGTATTTAATGAAATCTTGACATTTAAAAGATACAAAAAAGTTACGTTAAACACATTGTTTGGATGACAAGGAAGTGAATGTGATTGCTAAAAGCTAGGGACGTCGAATTTAAAATTTAAAAAAAAAGATCAAAGTTGTAAATAACATACAACTTATTGATGTTCACTATTTATATATTTGTTTGCAAATGATTCCCTGTTATGTAAATTCAATGAAACGAATCTGTATAAAAATCTTATTTAAAAAGACTGGAAATTATTATGAAATATTCAAATTCAATGCAATTCGAAAATGGAATAAAAAATTAAATTCCCTATTTCGAGCTAGTAGAGCTTTATAAAGTACTTTCAATTGAATTAAAGACCACAACGAAAATGCATTTTGGTTTATTTACGTTACTTCCAATTTTCCACGCTTTTCTCAGCTCTATACATAGCGATCATATAAACGAATATGCTGTGATGTCCAGTTCTAAGGATATTGTCCAAGAATTCGCCAGTCATTCAGGATGTACCTTTATTCAGCAAGTGGGTTTATTACTTATATTTAACTTTTATTTATTCGTATTTTATGATGAATTGATTATTAATTATAAGATGCAGCAAATACCTTAAAAGTTTCATTTCCAGAAAAAAAGTAATAATTTATTTGTCTGATTTTGTATTTGGCTATTTGTTTTTATTTAGGTAACAAGTGTTTACTACTTGATTAGCTGCCCCGAAAGTAAAGAAAAAATGAGTATCGAAGAAATTGCAGACCAGTTTAAGGATGAGGTAAAATATTTTAATGTACAATTTATGAATTTTGTTAATTACATGCGTTTACTTGGAAAAGAAAATAAGTATTCTAGTTTGCTATTCCACATTCCAGATAAAAAGTATAGAATATCAGGATCTTCATAAAAATTATCCTCGGACTGCCGACCCAATGTGGAAAGGCATGTGGAATTTGGTAGGTACTGTAGACGTAATTATTGTGTTCATTGATTTACGGTTTTCTGTAGTGGTACTTTTCACGGTGGTGTTTATTTTCATTACTAGATTCACTGTATTTGTAATTTAAAAAATAATCCTAAAAACAGAATTGGTAAACTCTACATAAAACGGTGTATTGAATGATTCTTTTCGATATCTGTTTTAATAGTATGGAAAATTAAAGGTTTTTAAAGATTCGTGGAAGATATTTGTATTTTATTTATGAATAATACTTTGATACATGTATATTGAGATGACTTGTTTGATCGTGAACATAGTGAAATTAAAACTGTCGATATATATTTCACTTTTACAGTTAAGCGCCATTATTAGCAGACCTATTTTTGTATTCATAGAAAGCAAAATTACTCTTGCTGTTGCATTGAACTCAACATTTAGATGCAATATATCAACGACGTTTTGTCAATTAACAATGGTTATTTGGTGACTATAAATCCCTCCTTTTTTACCTTAAAAATTAATAGGAAACACCATCCTATAAACCTGGCCTCAACCACATTTGAAATAAAAACAACATTTAATTGTGTTTGGCGTGCTTGTCATGACCTTTTATTAAATGTACATTTTAATATGCAAAATACAAACATATGCGCCGATTACAATTATATGGCAGCATAAATATAGATTAGAGAGCAATAGAAATACCACCTGGATCCAAGGAGCCTGGAGACAACAGTACCCCCCGGAGACGGTATTCTATGCAAAATTATGCCAAATGGTACATATGACAAAGTCGAATGTACCATTCGCCATAAAACAAGGCGGCAATTTTGCCCCTTCCAAATTGAAATATTAAAAGAACAATCAAAATAATGACGCGAAATGCGCACAAAGAGGTGAATTTCACCAACATTCAACACTAAGTAATTTAAATTGTCTTGTTTCATCAATCGTGCAAAACAAGTGTCACGATTATTCATGACATAGTAAATATGTTGAAACTATAATAAAATTGTATTGTATGGATTTTGATATTGAATACTGTTCGTTATCTGCATATCCTTTATGTTTCAGACTCTATGGTATATTTTATTTCAAGCTCACCGGGATATATCGTATCGACATAAAAATGGAAATAACCATTGTTAATTGTCAAAACGTCGTTGATATACTTTCTATTATCAACGACATCTTGTCAATGTTTCTTAGAAATGACTGTCCACTGAAAGATCACGAATGTCATATAAAAAAGCAACATTCAGGTACATGTTAAACATTGTCATTTGTTACCAGCAAATTATGTTTTTCACTCAAAAAATATTAAATTACTGTTAAATGTTGAAAAATAAGGTCGAGAATTATTTAAATAACGCCTCAATAATTGCAGACGCAAGGTAATGAAGACATTTTAAACGATTCAAAGGCATGATCGAAACTTTGTTTTATTCTTAAATCATGCTTGATTTGAAGTTTTGAACGTACCGCCGTAAATTTACAAGTGTAATTTTTGTTCCTTACTATCTTTTATGTAATTTTTGTTAAAAAGATGATGAAGTATCTTACTGACAGAAATTCTCTATGTGCATCATGTGATGTTATTGTCATGTTGTAAATGTAAATTAAAAATTTACAACATGACATTATTACACACATGCAACATTATGCTACTTCACATAAAAGCTTACTAGTTAGTCTGATTGGGTTTCAAGTCATGTTTCAGTTTTATATCAAATGGAAACAAAAAGTAGTTTAACTTAAGAAATGTTTTATCTTTAAATTTTCTCAATAGTTTAGGTATTTGTATAATTTTGATCAATAGATTTTCAAAAAAAAGACATTGTACTTTTATTTAGTATAAGGATCTTAAGAATAACTAATAAAGCTTAAAACTTTCAAATGAAACTAGAGGTACTGTGAGCAATGAGCTCACTAAATGATACCCCCCGCCTTCCATATGAATAAAATGGCAGTGTCCATGTTTTGCTCTGGAAAATCCAAAATATATGTCAGATCAAAAAGTAAAATAGGAGGTGCACAATGGCAATATGTAATAAAGATTCTGTGAAAGTTTCATCAAATTTCATTCAGTGGTATGAGAGGAGTTGCGGATAAGAGATGGGTACCTTTAAAGCGTAACAGACGGACGGACGGACGGACAGACGTACAGACGGACGGAATTAACGATTACTATATACCCTCCCGCTTTTCAAGCGGGGAGTATAATGATATCTAAGTCGCAGAATAAAAAAAATGACATGTTTTGTCAGGTCGAAATATTAGATCGATATTCTTTCTATACTTCAGGAAACATGAAGTGATTTTTTTTGTTTTGACGACACAATGTTTAGTACATCAAAAAGAACACTTTAATTATTCGTATATATTTTTAGTAATATCCTTTAAATCATTTTATGGTCTGTACCACTTTGTACTACAAGGTACGCTAATGGATTTGTAGAGAAAAAACCCGGATGTTACGTCGTATTTTTTAAACTTTCCTTTATATGTGCATTCTGACACTTTCACAAATCAGAAATTTTAAAATTGTGTGATCTTAACAAGAGATAATCGTTCCTCAATTTCAGAAAATCTCTTCAAAGAGACATTTGATTTTACAACCGTAATGAATAATCATTGTTACAGAAAAAATAAAACAATAAAAAAAATCTGCAAAAATAAAATTGATAAGTACCGTATAAGTGGAAATTTAGACGCAAATGTAGCCATTTATCCTTTTCAAAATACTAGTATATATTATTAGTTAGCGAGTAGTAATTTTAGCCATTTAACAATGCTCATTTTCAAACTCTATTACAAGATTAGTAATAAGCAATTTATTTTTAGAGGGATTCAATTTTAGCGATGTCAGCATCATCGCCAATAATGCCAAAATTGAATCCTTGCTAAATAAAATCTGCTTAATATACGGTATAATAGTTACTCAATATTTTTAAAATTTCTGCTATATCCATTGGCCATCTCTTTTCAATCCAATCTATATTCACTATATGAATATCCTTACTATACAGCATCATTTTTGCAGTAAAATTGCTTAATTATTTTCTTCTTTAAAATTTTTTTACAGAGGAGTGAAACCCAGCCTTCTATGCATGTTTTAGATGCCTGGAACAGAGGGTATAATGGCTTGGGTGTAAACATAGCGGTTATTGATGACGGATTGCAAATGGATCATCCAGATTTACAAAGAAACATCGTAAGTTAAATAAACTTTGTATGAAACACTGAATGTGTCTGGTATGATTTTTTCGATTTAATTTCAAAAAACAGAGGGGGAACTTTTTAATGATGGGGGGGGGGGGGGGGGGGGGGGGGGGTTCTACAAATCTTACAGGAATACATCACAAAGATTTTGATTTTATGGAACTATTTTCGTACAAGTAGTTAAAGCATTTAATGGTCAACTTTATAACAGTTTTGTATCAGATGTCAGATACATCTTCATATAATTAATTAATTAATAAATAATTATTCTTTATTAGGATGTCGCCAACAGTTATGACTACAATGGTAACGACACGGATCCCTTTCCAGCAAACGTATCTTATGAGTAAGCCTCTTGTACAATTTTTTAACAGTAATTTGTATTGTTTTTAGCAGAAAACACCATAAATAAAAAAAACATCATCAATAGTAAACTTTATGTTAAACTATTGAATGTTATGGTTTTGTTTATTTATTTAACGCCCTTTCATGAGTTTTTCACTCATATTGAGATGCCACTACCTGGTAGTGAAGAGCTGAAAATTTAGTCGCAAACTAGTTTCTGTGACAGCACCTACTTATGATTGATCTTCGATCTCGGTGAATGAAAATTAAGAACAAAATAATTTCTAACGCACAAAGTGTTGCTGGTTATCATACATAAAACTTTTTTTTCAAAATTTGTGCAAAACGTGTCCAAATCACAACTTGTTGACAACAATAATGAAATATCTTCAGTAAGCTTTGCTTGTGTTTACACGTATTTTCAAACAAATAGACACCTTGTTTCTCACATTTTTAATATCTTCAATAGTCATGGAACGAAAGTTGCTGGCGTAGTAGCGGCAGAAGCAAACAATGATGAATGCATTGTCGGAATCGCCTTTAATTCTACAATCATAGGTAAATACATCATTTCAATGAAATAAACAAATCATTAGGATTATGCAATTATCTTATGACAGTGCTGAAAAACATCAGTTACTAGTATATTTTGTTTGGTACGAATTTTACATTACACAGGAATAAGGCTGTTAGGAGATGGCGGAGTTACAGATGTGAAAGAAGCGTTAGCATTGACTCATAACATGCAGGAGGTAGATATATACGTCAACGCCTGGGGGCCTGCAGACCGGTATGGTTACAGTAGACCAGGTTCAGTCACTTATTCGGCCCTCCTAGACGCCGTCAACTCCGTAAGTCAATTTTTAATTTTAATATAGTTGTTAGTGAACTAATACGTTATGACTGTGAAGCTATCGATGCGCCATTTTTATGACATAGTAATCTTGTGCTCGTTTTATTCAGGGAAGGAATGGAAAGGGAAATATATTTCTTTGGGCAGCTGGAAATGGTGGCTTAGATGACAACTGTAACGCTGATGGTTATGTAAATCAATTTTTTACAATCCCCATCACAAGTGTTGGAGCTGACGGCGTGGCCGCCTCTTACTCTGAGGTGTGTGCATCTGTGTTTGCCGCAACGTATTCGGGGACCTCACAGCAATATAATATGGTAATTTTTTTACCAGTCCAGTCCAATACGAAATTTTGTAATATTACGAAAACACGTAAGATTACGAGAAAGCGTAATATTACAAGTTATCGTAATATAAAACTTATATTACAATTTTTCGTAATGGAGTTAAATTACGAATACGCATAATATAGCAGATTGTAAGAGACTATATTACGAGTTTTCGTAATCCAAGACAAATTCAAGCATTGCAAGAAATTGAGTGGCGGATAGCAAAGTATGACGTTTACTACGAAAACTCGTAATATAGTCTCTACAATCTGCTATATTACGCGAATTCGTAATTTAACTACATTACGAAAAATTGTAATATAAGTTTTATATTACGATAACTTGTAATATTACGCTTTCTCGTAATCTTACGTTTTTTTCGTAATATTTACGAATTTTCGTATTGGACTGGACTGTTTACTGTGAATTTATTTTGAGAATTATAAAAAAAGAGAGAACATGACTCCAGGGTATCTTTGTTGAATTAAGGAATCACTCTCCAGTTAGTATATTATGCCAGAGACATCAACGATTGTGGGAAACATGGGATAATTTGCATAACGGACGAAGCAGACGGTGATTCCTTATATTTTCATTTTCTTGTGGTATACAATTGTAGATTTAGACTTTTATAATGTAGACTAATAGACTGAAATTACACGATTACTCCCAAGCCAATTTCAATAGTCCTCGCCCACTGACATGCCAATTTCAATAGTCCTCGTCCACTGACGTCAAACACAAAGGCAGCCGCACGAGATTTACATGCATATTTGTCCTCCTTAGCATCAGACACAGAGATAGATGCGCACGAAAATTGCATGCATATTACGCCTCCTTAGATCCTGACGTATATACCTGCCTAATTTACTTAAGGAATAACTGTCTTATTTTTCAATTTCATGATGTGATCAATCGATTGGCTTGCGTGATCATTTGCCTTCGGCGTTTATGCATAAAATTATCACGCAAGCCAATCGATTGATAATCGTCATGAAATTGAAAAAATTGACAGAACTTTATTCCTTATATTTACATGCATTGATTCCGCCAATCCATGCTCCAAGCCCTGCTTCTGTCTAGCTGCTTGTCCCGCCCTGCACGTGGTTTTTTTTTTTTTTTTGAACGGCGCCAATACATTGATGGGGAAATAAAGTACATTTATAATTTGTAATTTTATCTCAGACAAAGACATTGGAAATGTAAATATATTCCGGAGGATGATTTGCTGTAAACAAGGATGAAAAAATAGTATAAGATATCTGTCTCTGGTCCATGTACATGTAACACAGTTACACTGTATATATACAGAGCTATGTTCGAAAGCATATTGGTGACTATTTTTATTTTTCACAATAAGAATGACGTGAACTCTTTGATGTGTGTGCATAGACTCAAACCACATTCTAAAGTCCTCATACTCCAACCCGTAACTGCTTCATCACATTTTGTATAATACTTAAAAGTTACTTCAGGAGATAAAGGGAGAATCTTGTTTCAATTGCAACAGCAGTAAACAATAAATTTGAAAATTTGAAAATGCAATCGAACATTGAAAGGTCGAGACGTGAATAATTTTCTTTATTCTTTAGACGTCCACCACTACAGAATCCAAGTGTGTTGATGGATTAATAGGAACGTCATTTTCTGTTCCACAAGCTGCTGGAATAATTGCCTTGGTGCTTCAAGCAAAGTATAAAATTGTCTTAGGATTGTTTTTTGCCAGAACAAATAACTGTTAAATAATGAAAATGTAATTCACATTACAATCAATAAATCACAAAGAAAATATTTAAAATTGAGGAGAAACAATTTTTACAAGTTAATCTTTAAAAGCTTATTGTTAATTATGAAGCTTAAGTTAGATGGATTGCCCCCTTTTTAGGTCAACTCAGGTGACCTATTGCTATCTGTTTTCGTCCGTCGTCGTCCGTCGTCCGTCGTGCGTCGTGTGTTAACATTTGAACATTTTCAGCTTCTTCTCTGAAACCACTGAACCAATTTCAACCAAATTTGGTTTACACCATCTATGGGTGAAGGGGAACAAAAATTATGAATTTCATGGTCCCCGCCCCCCTGAGGCCTGAGGGGTGGGGCCAAAACCACTAAAATTAGTGCAATCTATAAAATTCTTCTTCTTTACTCCTGGACATCAAGCAGGCAATCTGTTGACATGAATGTAATTAGCACTGAGTCCTCTACCAAAATTTTGAAATTCATGGCCCCTGCAGGGTCAGGGGTTCTAGTGCTAGTGCTGGGCTATATAGATTATATAGTGAAAATGCATTATTTCTTTTAAAATCTTCTTCTCTGCTCCTGGGTATCAAATAAACTAACTAAGTACATAGTTATGATGAGCAAGAATGCCTCTTCCAGATTTGTGAATTTTATGGCCCCAAGGTCAGGGGTTCTGGTGTTAGGGTGGGGCTTTATTGATTATATTGAAAATTCATATATTCTTTGAAAATCTTCTTCTCTGCTTCTGAGTATTAAATAAATTAACTAAGCACATAGTTATGATGAACAAAAGTGCCTCTTCCAGATTTGTGAATTTTATGGCCCCAGGGTTAGGGGTTCTGGTGTTATGGCGGGGCTCTATTGATCATATACTGAAAATGCATTTATTCTTTGAAAATCTTCTTCTCTGCTTCTGGGTATTAAATAAACTAATTAAGCACATAGTTATGATGAACAAAATTGTGAATTTTATGGCCCCAGGGTCAGGGGTTCTGGTGTTAGGGCGGGGCTCTATTGATTATATAGTGAAAATGGATTTATTCTTTGAAATTCTTCTTCTCTGCTTCTGAGTATTAAATAAACTAACTAAGCACATAGTTATGATGAGCAAGAGTGCCTCTTCCAGATTTGTGAATTTTATGGCCCCAGGGTTTGGGGTTCTGGGTTATGGCGGGGCTCTACATATACTGAAAATGCATTTATTCTTTGAAAATCTTCTTCTCTGAAAATAAATTAATGCTTTAAAATTGTGAAATCTTGCTCTTTGTAAATTAATGCTTTTAAATCTGCTCTTTGGTGTTTTTCAACCATTTTGTTTTAAAATTTGCAAAATTTTGAAATATGTGGCCCCTGGGTCAGTGGTTCCTTTGGGATGAGGTGCACAACTGGGTATAGAGTGGAAGTGCATTTTCTCTTTGTTACTCTGATCTACCTCTTGGTATTAAGTAAATAGAGTAAGCATGATATCAATGGTGCCTCTTTCAAAATAGTGAATTGTGAATTTCATGGCCTCTGGTTTAAACCAAATTCAAGTGTTTGAAAGTTTTTACACAATACTCAGGTGACCTTAAGGCCCGTGGGCATCTTGTTAAAAAAAGAATCAAATGCACTGAGTATGAAACATGTTAAATGTTTGCTATTCTAAAATCCCGCCTTGCAGTCCATCTTTAACTTGGAGAGACATGCAACACCTTATTGTTGAAACAAGCAAGAGACATAACCTACAAGACCTACCAGGCGGACGTTCCCTGTGGCAGATTAACGGGGCCGGCTATAACGGTAACTGTGTACATATACACTACATGTCGTCAATTTTATAAACCGGGAAGATAATATAGGTAAATAAATGCAAATAAAAAGTATATTTTTATGACTGTTCTGTTCGTAGTGAGTCAGATTTTGGGTTTTGGCTTAATGGATGCCGATGCTATGGTAACAAAAGCAAAGACCTGGGTACCAGTTCCAGAGCAGAAAGTATGCGTCACTGGAGATTTTTCTATTGAAAGGTAACTGTTACATTTGATCTGTTTTATCACATACACACACACAAACATCCTCTTTTACCTTCACTCTCGCACACACTCTCTAGTTCGCTCTAACACACCCTTACACACGCAGAAACATGTATCTTATCAGGATGTTCAACAATTTTACTGTTATATTAACCATTTTCAAAAAAATATTTTTCTCTGGTTATCAGAAGCACGGGACCATCTTCTGCCGTTTCAAGTGAAAAGGAAATCAGTACAAAAGGCTGTCCGATGAACTCAATTGAACACGTCGACGTATTTGCCAATTTAACATATTCCAACAATAGGGGCGATGTTCTTCTGTATCTAGACTCGCCTGCTGGGACTCATTCCATATTAATGTCCCACAGACCGACTGATTCTGCCAAATTCCCATCTGCTGGCTCTTTGAGATGGTTTTATTCATCGGTACATTTCTGGGGAGAGACAGTTGATGGAACATGGACGTTAAGAGTGGACTCAACTAATCGTTCTTCTGTTCAAGGTACGAAAGCGTAAACTTTTTGGTTTAAATATAAGTTAAGTCTGGGTATTCAAATAATCTATTGGGTTTTTCTGACGGTCAGGCGATGCAAGGTAACTCAGTTGGTTAAGCATCTGACTGGATATTCATAGGTAACAGATTCGAATCCCAATTTTGTTCGTCGAATTTTCTTCAATCTTTTTTTGTTGATAGATATTCAGATTTATTAAATAATAGGGTTTTTTAAAAATTAGGAGAAAAGGGCAAAGATAAAATTATAAATAAACACGTGTAGGAGATATAAATTTTTGATATATTTCAAATAAAAATTTGTTCGGATGATATCTTTGAACATATAATTGATGCACTTTCATCTTTGCCTTTTAGTGACCTTGCACAGTTGGAGTTTATACTTTTATGGATTCTATAAAGGTATTTATTTATAAGATAACTGATATAGTTTTTAAAAAAATTTTAAGTAAAAAATTGTACTGTCGCTAAGAAGAAGACTTTTGCAATATGAGTAGTTAATTGTTCTCAGAAGTCCTTGATATAACTTTTATTACAAGTGGCATGCCTAAAAATAATTGGAGCCAGTTCTGTATTTTCTCCACATTTATATTTTTAAAATAGACCTATAGGTTTCTTAGAGATTTACTAATTGCATAAGACCTCGGAGGGTCAAAAAATGTAAAAATGGTTGCCTTCCCATTTTTTTTTCTTAATTGGCTTGTATGGCTTTTGATTTAAAGTCTAAAAAAAAGAAGAAAAATTTTTTTTCTTTAACACAATTTTGTACTGAATATCACGTTCTATTTATGTATGCATAAAACAAATTTAAATGGTTTAAAAACATTTTTAGATAATTCAAAAACCACGACATCGAGTACAGAGACAAGCACGAGTGTAGATAAGGAGACAAACTCGAGTGTGAATATCATAACAATAGCAGTTATAGCTACAGTGGGAGTTTTAGCTATTATAATAGTCTCCTTTGTTCTTATACGAAAATACTGCTCGGCTAGGTCCACTCCTATGGGAGACCGAGTAGCTCCAATAACGGCGTGATACGGGATACAGACACAGCTGGAAGTTAAGGAACTGTTACAGTAAATCAGGAATAATTCAGAAACTATAATGTATTTATTGGATTATTAACTTTGATTTTTCGCATGAAAACAAGAAGGCATAGAGTAAAGACTCGTGTTTATTCTGTCATTTTGTTGCATAAGATATTGTATTGCTTTACAACTGAAATTTATATCTGTGATTGACAGATCTACAAACAATGAAATAATAAAATATGTAACATAAAATTTATTCAACCAAAGTACATCATTAAATATCATTTGTATCTATTTTCTCTTTCACTTTTATTATGTGTCTAAAAAAAGGTAAAAATCGCTATATATATGATTAGATTACAATGTATATATTCTCTGGAATGACAAATCAATGACACTGATAAAATAGCTCTATAAATATCACAAGAGTACTAGTCATCAGTTCCTTATCAACATTTCTGTTAATACTTATTTCATATAAAACATACATGATTTTTTAGCTGTTTGGATTAATTATCAGGTCCTTTTCTTCAAAAAGCTTTTAATATAGATACTTTTTAAATACGAAATAAATAATATTTTCAGACGAAATTATCTCAGAAAGTTATAAAAAATATTCTGAGACTTTCCTCCTTCAATATTATTATGCCTCGAACGTACATGGTTCTTCATTATTTTTTTTTTATATCACTTCATGTAAACTCTTCTTCAAAACGAAACGAAAGTTAAAGAGGTTGCACGACCCCTTTTTGTAATAGTGGTCCATTTTTGTGAAGACGAATCATCGGCCAGACCAGGAAGTCTATCTTAGATCCGGTCTTTGTGAACTTCCGGAGCATTTTATCGTCGACTACCTGTCCACGTACAGCAGTAAAGTCAATGACAACAGGTGGATCTTGTACACACATCAACCAACACAACTCTGTACAGCGGTCAATATAAGACTGACAACCGTCCTTCTCCTTACTAAAGACACTCAGCATCACTTTGTTCACAAGCTACAATAAACATTACAAGTTGTTTATTAATACAATGGAATGCCAATAAAATTTATTGCGACGACGACTATTTTTCTATTTTAAAATAATTCGTAAAATCATACTTGTTTGACATTTTTGACAGATTGTAGGGCTGTTGATTTGCGTAGGTCTTTCAACTTCTTCAACTGGTCGCTGGGTAAATTCGTTGTACCAGTTATCTATAATAAATATAAATCAAGATTTGATTCATTATACACTTAACTTATTAAAAACTGTCATGACGTATCATACGTTTAAATAAATTAAGACAAATTTCAATTGAATTTCATGTTTTAAATATTTTTAGGAAAGCAGTATGGTTGGAGAGGCACGGCCCCTGTGTGAAATGTGCGAGGAGATTAAGGTTAAAATGAACGAGGCAAGATACAATAATGTAACTTTCAGCTTACAATTCAATTCAACTGGCAGCCACTCTGACATAATAAAAAAATAAACTAAAATGTTAAACTACGCCTGCATCGAAAGAATTGCATTTTATGTAATCCACTTTTAAAACTGAAATATTGAATTTGTATCACAATTTTCGGAAGGAAAAAAATCATTAAATTATTTAGAATAACGAAGCATTAACTTTATTTCTTCATCGCGAATATCTCCAATTCTAAAGCTATTGTCAACGCTCTCATTAAACTAGTTCCTGTTATTCATATGAAATAAACGAAAATAACAAACCTCTTTTAACTGGGCGAACTGATCGTCCGAAATCCTGACACACTCATCGAAAATTCTCTGAAAATTTGATTTGTAGAAATTCATATAAGAAAATGCAAAAGTGAGAGAAAACTCATGCTTTAGGTATGTTGAGCACAAAACACAGAAAATAGTACTATATTAAATTGTAAGTTACATGTTACCAATGCTGTCTCTATAGTTAATCTCTTATGACTGATTGATTGATTGTATATTGTTTGACGTCCCTCTCGAATTTTTTTACTCATATGGAGACGCCACCACTTGCCGGTGGAGAGCTTCAAATTTTTTGTCCTATGCTTGGCACTCAGGGCCATTGAGCAGGGAGGGATCGTGCAAGCACCTACTGCGACACGGGACCTCATTTTATACGGTCTCATCCGAAGGACCGGTCTCCACGTCCCACAGTGAAAATCGAACCCGCGACCTAAGGATTGATTCGTTACTTCGCGACTATAGAGCAGACGCTCTTACCACTACGCCACGCGGGCCACAGTCTCTTATGATGCCCAGGTCTCTAAAACCTGATTTAAATGAGGCCTTCACTATATTTATACATTTAATTCACCAGAAAGCAACACTTATCTTGCTGTATTACTATAAACCAATGAGATATCAGTGTGCACCATGAATAATTTTCATAAGTAATTAAATATCTCACTGACATCCTACTTGTATAAAATTTCTCGCAATATATAGCTTCATTTTGTATGTTTCAATTTTACTATAGGATTAAACGTTCTTTTTGAAAAATTTATCGATGTGTAAACTCTTGACATTTTACTCACAAACTAAATAAAAGTGCGAAGCACTTTTATGTTAAGTTTGTGAGTAAAATTTTTACACATCGATAAATTTTTCAAAAAGATTTAATTCTTATAATTCCAATATCGAATTTTTAAAAATATTTAAATTATTTCTCTTTGAGGCCTCCATACAATCCGTTATTTCTGGACGGCGTAGGAATACATTTTACCGTAAAGGAACGTAATTGAATTTCGATCACTTTAAATTGTCAAAATAATCGATAAATAAACTTATAACAACTAATGGAATGTTGTTTAATATATCGTTATTACGAGTTTACTTCAGAATAGTTCGTCTTTGACCATGGCCATGTTGACATAAACAACAACTCTCATAGCGAAACTTGCAGACCGACGACGCCTACAATTTGCACTTGTTTATTCAGATTTTGAGGAACAATATAGAAAGTTAATATGAATTTGATGTTTATAGGGCAAGAGTTTGAGGTACGTTTCTTTTCCCTGTCAAAACGATACAGACTGAGCTTATTTTCTACGTATGAACGTTGAGACAGCGATTTTTAAAATTCACACTCGTGATCGGACAGTGACATAAACATTTTCATATCAGTTAGGCAGTCTAGTATGTTGCCAGTTTTGTTTAAGCCCTAGTTAAAATTTAAAGTTTCTTGTATTCATTATTTAGCCAGAACAGACCCAGAAATAACTGTTTTCATTGTTTATACGATAACCTAGTAGTGTCATCAAGAAAGTAGTTCTGATTGGAAGAATTTATCGATGTGTAAAAATTTTCTGGAACGTGTTCTCGTCCAATCAAAACACAGGAAATCAATAGATAAAATGAAGATTGGAATTATATTTGAAAAAATTTGTATGATGAATGAAGCAGGTATGTGCATTTGATCACAAATATAAGCATTTAGATTTGAATATAAGTACATGTAAATTCCTTTCTACAAGTTGTAGGAAAGTGTAGGAAACGTGTCAACACCAAACTAATCACATACCGGTAATACGCGAGGAATTTAGGGAATACTAGTACCCCTACTAGACGTAACCGTGAATGTACACGTATAAAATCTCAACCACTCTCTCATAACAGAATGATATGTATATGGTATTACATTCATTGACTGCTATGATTACCTTTAATATGCTAAGAAGACACTGAATGCCCTCCGTTTCACCGAATCTTAAATTTTCTTCCAGGTTTTCCATGGCGTCCGTCCACTGATCATCGTACAGCTGACTGAACTTCTCACCGAGATTGATTGGTCTGTTCTCATCACTTAAATCAGCTATACCGGGATTGTTGTCTCTTAATTTTTCTCCAGCTACTGAGCTTAACCTAAAGGCATTTTAATTTAGTTCCTTAATTCTACTATGCTCAGATCATAATTATCAGACTTTGGAGAAAAACAAAGAATCTACAAACCTGTTTAAAGCATGATCTTTTTCTCGTTTAACTTCTGTATAATCTCTTCTTAGTTGATCCAAACTAAAAATTTGAAGTATAAAATACTAATCTTAAAAATGAGTTGCTTTACAAACTTTAAATTCAGAAACACTTGACTATAAAAAAAGAGTTACCTTGAAGAAACTCGTTCCAACTCGGATTTAAGATTAGTATTTTCTCGATGAAGTTTCTTCAGACTTTCCTCAGAATCCAATACCTTAGGTTTCTGCAGATTTTTTATTTCTTTATTTAGGACGGAAATCTGTTCATGAGCCCTATTCAACAGAAGGTGTACGTGTATGAAAAAATTACAGAAAAAGAAAAAACTAGAATTCACGTTATTTGATCTTTATAAAGTCTCATTGAACCTTCTATACAAATAAAAGAGCTTTTGAAATTTTCAAAGTTTGTTTTGACTACAAGTAATTTTTTTTGTTTTAACTATACGTTTGCATAGAGAAACAGTGTTTTAATTTCTGAATTCGCAGACCTTTAGCCTAAAATAATAGGAATCATCTTTAGACTGAAGAGAGTAATGATCTTAATTAAATTCTACTAAGAGGCCAACCGGTAAAAAGGTTTAAAGAAAGAAATCATCTGAAAATTTTACTTTTATTACATGACCTTAATTTTTAAATTGTGAACCTTTTCAACTTAAAACAAATAAAAAAGAGGAATCATTTTAGACTACCTGCTCAATTCGAGGGCCTTAACTTGACCAATCCTAAATCTACATTACCTAAAAAATACTTTCAAATTGATAAGACATAAAATGGCTTAATCGCTCTTGAGAATATTTAAAAATATATATATAATTTGAATAATTTGATTCTACAGTCTGTCAGAATGCTCGCTGTACCCCCAGCCATCGATACTCTGTGGTATATTTTTCATGGTGATCCGTTTAATAGCCCCTAAATACATCTAGCTGTTGATGTCTCTCCTTTTTTCAAAATACTTTTAAATTTGTTTCAGCCTATAATTGTACACGATAGCAAATACATGTACATGGTACATAAGCTTTCACAGAATCCCGAGTGAGTAAAGATTCATTTGATTTCCCTCCCCTGCGAAGTTAATTCAAAAACACCAATATCTGACTTCTTTCTCGCAAATATTCATATATTTATATCGATAAAACTATATTTTAATCATATCGACAATACTGTTTTGATATGATTAAATATCTTGTTTCGATCGATATCTGAAAATCAATATAGTTGCCTTTAATTATGTTAAAAGATCTTATTTACAATTTAAAATATGTGTATAAATAAGTAGTTAATACACTTACTATGTTGATAAGACGATAAAATATAAGACCATACCATATACAACGTTATAACACAAGTGTCGAGTCCTTTACGCTTCCGTAAGAGAGAGAGAGAGTATTTCTTAGATTCTTTTTAAATATATAATGAGAAAACCCGTCAATTGATAGCTTTAAGATTAAATGATTGATGACTAAAACATTACTCAGAGTTCACTTTTTTCAGCTCCAGTTTCAGAGCGTTGTTTTCTTTGAGTAACAGCTGTGCTCTTTCCTCAGTATCATGCTTTCTAAGTCGCTGAATGCTTGCGACTTCATTTGAGATTGCAGCTGCTTTTTCCTCAGACCTTTCAAATGAATAAGAGTAAAATAAGAAGAAAAATATATATTCACTGATTTTTAATTTCGATTTTTAAAAAAAATGTACTAAACAATCATCTTACTTTGCAAGTTGTTCAACTAGGTCTTCTATTTCTTTTTCTTTTTGCTGTATAGCTTTTGTCATTTTGGTGATTTTATTTTCCATATTTTGTTTATCTCTCCGCAAGTCATTGGACTCCTTTGTCAAATTTTCAATCCTGAATTTAGAGATACATCGTTTAAAATCAAATGAATAAAAATCGAACCTTTTATAAATTATAGTTTTTTTTATCCAGAAATAATATTCAAAGAAATCGAAATACTTCGATTTGGCACTTGGTTGCCAAAACTGGTAAAATAATTGCAAAGAAGGTTTTCAACTGCGCATCGTGATGTATTATTATATTAAAGAAAGCCCATTTAATAACAAATTATGTTATAGGGTGTAGTTTGCAATTTATTCTTTTGCATATCAAACTGAGGATTAGTCTATCAACAATGAAGTGTTTTGTATTCATGTTAGTCTGCAGTGTAATGCGGGTCTTTTAAACAATAAAAAAACAAATTAAAGTCATCTTTGAAATAATGTTGCTTGCCCTCTCCCGACACAGGGTAAAATTATTTGGTCGGTAGGTAGGTGTTAAATGATTTTTCTAGAGAATTGCAACATATTTGTTGACGGGACAAGAGAAATAGAAAGAAAAAATATCATGTCCGGGAATGTAAAAACGTTTTGGCTCGGGCCATATTTAATCAGTCGCTCGGGAAAGGGCAACCGAACAATTTCGTAACGATGGTCTGTTTGAAAATAATTATGAGTTTCGGCACTTTATTTTGAATTATTGTGTATGTATTATTATAATAAATTGAAAATGCCTCCTGGTTTAACATAGCCTAATCGTTGACGAAGTTGTTAAAGACCTTTCATCATGCATGGCGAGCTGATGTTTCAAGGTATCTAGATCCCGTTCTTTACTCTCAACATCCTTGCTCAATTCTGTGTATCTTTGTAAGATCTTCTCCTGCTCAGCTCTTGTTGTTTCATATCGCAATTTATAATCACCAAGACTTAAAAATTAAAAGAAAACTTCATTACAATGAAAGCTTTTGATTTAACTTAATATCTTTGCTTGAATTGACAATGATAAGATTTTTCAAGCTATGAGTAATTTCTGTTATACAGATTTATGCAATTGAGCTTTTAAGCAAACCATTTTTTCTAGGCCATTAATAAAATTTTGAAATATAGATTAAATTTTCATTAAATATTAAAAGAAATGTACTTCATTAAATGTGAAACAAAAGGTTCTATAGCTATGGCCACATTGCTCACTTGAGCACTGTGGCTAGGAAAAAAACCAGAAATCAGTTCTGTAATGAAAAGTTAAAATCCATAAGTGGTCCCATGTTAGCATATTAAAAGGGAGGGGCTATGATTTGAACAAACTTGAATACCTGAATCTACACCAACTTAAGATGCTTGCATATTTCTTTGACTGTTTTACCCTTAAGTTTGATTTTAAGTTTTTATCCCATCTTATCCCTCCCCCACCCTCTGATCACGATTTAAATGTTTCTTAATCTACACTAGCTGAGAATGCTTCCACATAAATGTGACCAATCATTATAGCTTTGCTGTTCTTGAGAGGAAGAATTTGAAAGATATTTTATATATATTTCTATGTAAAACTTTGCTTATCCATTAATTGTGACCCGCCCTAGCCCCAGGGGGTCATGATCTGAACTTTAATCTACACTACACGAGGATGTTTCCATACAAATTTGACTAATTATGGCTTTGCTGTGTTTGTAAAAAAAAATAAAATATTTACTATATAAAAATTCCTGAGTAAAATTTTGATCGTCAATTGTGACTCTTTCCTACCCCCGGGTTCATGATTTGAACAAACTTGAGGATGTTTCTCCATAAGTTTCATCTTTCCTGACTCAAGGGTTCTTTTAACCATGCCAACAAATTTTCACTATTTTTGAATAATCTCCCCTTAAATGAGGACGTGAACCTTAATTTGAACAAACTTGAATCCACTTTACCTAAAAATGCATTGTGGCAAATTCGGTTTAAATTTGGTTCTGGAGAAGACGTCGAAAATGTAAAAAAAAAAAAAATGCCGACAGACAGACGGACAGCAGACAAAATATGATTAGAAAAGTTCAACTGAGCTTTCAGCCGAGGTGAGCTAAAAGTATCAATTATAGCAAAATATTAAAGGCTCTACCTTGACAGATGATGCTTGGTTTCTACAATCTCCTTCTCTTTTTGTTTGAGTATATTACTTTGCCTTGAGTACATTTCTTGCCATTTATTTTCCTCCTGTTTGATCTTATTAATTGCTTCCATTGCATTTGAAAGTCTTTTCAAAATGAAAAGAAACTTTAAAAATAAATGAATTGGTACATGAAATCAATTACCAACAAAAAACAACAAAGTTTAATAAGGATAATCAAAGTTTTGTCGCTGGATTTGGAATCCATTCTCTGAATAGGTAAGTTTTTTTTTTATATTAGTTTATTAGTTTTATAAAAGTGCTTAGACTATTGAAAATACCAGGTATAAAAATAATTTTGTCTCTCGAGTGAAATAAATTTCATATTCAACTATATATTATAAATTTATCTGTTTTTTAATAACTTTTTTGGAATTTCCCTTTTTTTAGCCCCCCTTTTTATCTTTTTTTTTCTACCATGAATAGAATATTCCTTAAATTTTTACTAAGAGATAATATGTCATAGGTCAGCGATTGTGAGATTGAAAACATTTTTAACATAGATTATTTGGAGAAACTTTGGCTGTTTCAGTTTTAATTTTATTACCTTATATCAGACCAAAATGTGTTCTCTTTATTGAAATTCTGCACAAAGGGAAGGCAGCTTGAGTGTTTTGGGGTGTCCTTTTAAGGACCAGGGGATATTTTAAATAAAAACTCTGTATAAAGGGAAGGAAAATTGAGTTTTGACGAACAATGTTCAAATTGTTACATTTAGTCATGTGTCTGTAATTGATATCTACGATAAAATTAATGGAATAATTTTCAATCACTGATTAAAAGCACAATTCATTTGCTCAATTTGTTCAGAGTATTTTGATTTTAATATCACGGAGGCAATGATATTCTGTTCCCAATCGCCTTTTCCCTCATGTAAGGTATCAAATAAATAGTTACTGCGATTGTAAAGACAAGATGTTTTCCTGCTTCACTCTCATCTCAACTTCATCTGATGATGTTCTTCTCTTCACAATTTCTGTATCTTTCAACAGTTCCTCATGTTTTATTTTTGTTCTAGAAAAAGAAATAGACGTAAATTCATATATTCTGTATGTTTGTGATTTTATTTGTTCGTTTGAAAAATGTTTAACGCCCCTCTCGAGAAATTTTTACTCATATGGAGACGCCACCACTTGTCGGTAAATAGCTGCAAATTTTTGTCCTATACTCGATACCCAGGGCCATTGAGCTGGGAGGGATCTATTTCGTGCAAGCATCTACAGCGACATGGGACCTCCGTTTATACAGTCTCATCCGAAAGACCATTCTCCACGTCCCAAGGTGGGATTTGAACCCGTTTACTTCGCGACTCTAGAGCAGACGCTCTAACCACTGCGCCATGACCTTAATGATTTTAATATATATACAAAAAATATGGGTTGTTTCAGGGTATTCTATCTTAGATAATACACTGACTTTACATTTTCTTTCAAAATGAAACTTTTTTTGTGATTTTGTTAATTACAAACAGGCACTCGACACGGTGTGGAGAAATGGGCTTTAGTACAAATTGTTGAATAATGGCATATAGATGCTGTAAATGTTTTACATTTATAAAAATATGTATAATGGAGTTAAGGACCTTGTGACTATGAATGGTCTTTCATCTGAATTTTACAAGTGTAACACTGGTGTCCGCCAAGAAGAAAATTTACTACCTCTCCTGTTTATTTTAATGATTTAGAATAATTTCTCACCAGCAAAAATGTGCAAGGGCTTTTTTTAACAATGTAATCGGTTCAAACAGTGTAAAAAATTCAATTTCGCTGTATTTATTTTCTTCTTTGCTGAAGATACAGGCTAACAGCTATAAAGTCTGGGTCTGCAGAGTGTTTGCAACAGGGTCATATTGTGCACAACGGAAACTGAATGTCAATGTAAACCAAAAAAATTATAATTTTTTCGAAAGGTTCATCTGTTGAAAAATGTCTTCTTCAACAATAAATCTGTTATTTAAATTGTGGACGAACTTAAATACCTAGGTATAGGTCTACTACTTCCCTGATCAGGTTCATTCTGTATGACTAAAAAACATGTGAGCAACCTTAAAGAGTCATGTGTGGAGTTATACAAAAAATTAGACAATTTAATTTACCAGTAGATTGCCAGCTTGATTTGTTCGATTAAGTTGTCAGAGCAGTACTTTTGTATGTGAGATATGTGGCTTTGTGAACATTGAAGTAATTGAATGCGTTCATCTTAAATTTTTGAAATATATTTTATATATCTATAAAGTAGTACTCCTAGTTATATGGTTTATGGTGGAGCGGGTCGCTTCCCTTTGTATATAACGGTGTATATGAGAATGATATCCTATTTGACAAAATTATTGGTAAGCCCTGAAAATAAGATTGTTTATTTTACATATAAGCATTTATTTGAACAGTTTTGTTCAAGAAGTCATAAGAACCCTTGGATTTTATGTATTTAATTAAGGATATACTTCATAGTTGCGGCTTCTCAAATGTATGGAAAAAACAGGCCTTTTTAATTACTAAATGGCTATAAGCTACAGTTGAACAACGTCTTCAAGATCAGTACATACAGAAATGACAAAGTGACATGCGCGATACGTCTAGAGGGCATATTTATAGTATTTTCAAAACAAAATTTGGATTTCAAAAATATTTAGAACTGCTACCTAAAAATATAGAACAATTCTCATTAAATAAAGAAGAGCAAATCGTCTTCTCCAAGTTGAGACTGGGATATAGTTTGGAATTCCTAAAAATGTAAGACTTTGTAATCTTAGAATAATGGACAAATAGCTGATGAATATCACAATATTTTAGAATGTCTCAAACTTTTCCTGAATGCAGAAAATATATCTACCTAGTAAATATTGTATGCTCAGAATTGTTGTCAACTGCTGACTCAAAAGTACGTTTATATAAACTATGCAGTTAGATAAATAGAGTATACAAACAATTCTATTTTTTTTTTTGCTATAATTTGAATGTATTTCCGCCATTTCACGTGTATCTTGTATATTATTTTTTAACATATTGTATATAGAACGTCATGTACTATTAACTGGTTTGAGTGAATAAATTGAACCTCTGAATTATTTCACAATGCATAAAACTCCACTCCCTTACTCATCTTAATTGCAATATTAAAAGACATTAATATACAAGTATATAATATGTATACCTCTCTAATTCCTTCCTCAAATTTCCAATTAAAACGTCTTTTTCTTGGATTGCTTTTTCAATATGCCAATACCGTTTTTCTGTATTCAGCTTATCCTTTTTATTTTGTTCAAACCTTTCCTCGGCTTCCTTTAGCCTGAATTTTAAAGAAAATTATTTTTCAGCTTAATAAACATATAATAAAACCCAAATGCAAGATATTAACATTATATTAACATATTACTCTCCATAAAATAAAAGCTAATCTAATTTGGATCAGATATGAAATATATCTGGTTGTCCTCAGAATAAGAAATTTAGGTCGGTAGGTAGGTTAAAAAAAAAAAGAAAAATGTGAATTTCAATTTTAAAAATCTATTCTCCAACATGATAAAAAAAATTTGCTTCCTTGATTTGAAAAAAAGTTTTGAGTCGGGCCATTGTAGCCAGTCGGAGAAGGTTAACTAAACAATTTTTAAAAGATGACCTTTGTACACATGTCAGTTATCTTTGGTAAAAAAAAAAGAAATATGATCATGAACAGTTCTTCTCAAAAGACCAAATCAACAAAATAATTCGAAAACGCCCCAAGTGATCCATTTTCCTAGATTATATAACTGGTGTAATCCGGAGATAATTCGGAATGAAAAAATTGTCCTCAAATTTAAATTATATATGTTAATAAATATTCGATCTTACGACAGGTTATCATTGAATAAAATGATTCTCGTGTTTCGAATGATCTTGGCAAATTCAGGCACAAATGATATTCACATATTGATTTTAAAAAAACATGATTTACATGTAAGAAATGAAGACTTGGTCATCACGTTCATTATTAAATTGTTTAATTGTAAGTTTGCACTTAATGTCATTCCCCATTAAAATATGCAATTGTGAAACAGATATGTCAAATATTATGGTGTTGTATTTCGAGTTTAAAAGATTACATGTATATTGAATCACAGGAGGAAAAATTATAATGAAACTTGTGGAAAACAAAAAGTAATTAAACTCAGAGTCCATTTAAACACAACATATCAGGAGCAGGATGGATGTTAAAAATACCTTGACTCTAGGTGTATAACTTGTTCTTTCAAGGATTTGTTTTCCTTGTTTAATTTTTCCACAGTTTGGTGTAAATTTGCTTCCAAGTCTCCCATTTCTCTTGTTCTCATAGATAATGCTTCCTTTGATCTGTCAAAAAAGTTAATTTAGAGATTTAATTAAAATAGAAACATGTGAAACATACACTCGACTGAATCTCAATGCTTAATTTAAAAAAAGCGCTATTTTTATTGGATTTTAAATAACATTTGTTTTCGAAAAAAAAATCTCGTTGAATATTTTAATATTTTAATATAACTGTGTGGTTATTTGATGATGTCTTCCGCTGAGTTATTCTTTGATTAATACATACCCCTTAAGTTGTTTTTCAAGATTTTCAATTTCTTTATCCTTTGATAATATATCCGTCTCTAATCTTCGTAGTCGTCGTTCAGCTTGTGATTTTTCGTTTGAAGTTTCAAGGAATTTCTCCTGTGTATTCGCCTGTTCATCTACTCTTCTCTTTTCATTTTCTTTCAATTCTTCTATTCTCCTTTTATAAAAAAGAAAGTTCAAACAATCTATGTTGTTTTTCAAATAATTATGACAACAATAACTTCGTTTATTCTATTCTGTAGTTCATATTCTTTATGCAATAAACATATTTATATGTCCAGGTTAGGCCCCATGCGAAATATTGAAAACAGGGTAAACTTGGCCATTTCGACGAAATTTTCAGAACTTGATGGTGACGCATTTAATGACGACAAAAATACTACAGAGAAAATTAATTTTAATAAAAAACAGTCAAAATGAGCACACCTGCAAATTATAAAAAAACAAATCAGATCAGAACTGAAAAGTTTATTAAAGGTTTTCGATTCAACATAATTATGCTTTCTATCAGCATATGACTTTGCTGTTCTTAATATAGAGATTTTTAAAAACATTTTCTTTTCTACCAGGCTTTGAAGTACTTGAGAAGAAGATTTTTATAAAGATTTTTCCTTTATATTCCTATGTAAAACTTTGCATCAGCCATTGTGGCCCCAACCCCTGGGGGTCAATTTTCAAACTTGAGACACTGTGCTTCCACATGAGTTTCATCTTTCCTGGACCAGTGGTTCTTGAGAAGAAGATTTTTAAAGATTGTTCCTATATATTCCTATGTAAAACTTTGATCGACCATTTTGGCCCCACCCTTCCCCCGGGGGTCATGATTTGAACAAATTATAATGTAAACTATACCAGGATGCTTCCACATAAGTTTCAGCTTTTCTGGCCCAGTGGTTTTTGAGAAGAACATTTTCAAAGATTTTTCCTATATATTTCTATGTAAAACTTTGATTCACCATTGTGGCCCCGCCCTTCCCCCGGTGGTCATGATTTGAACAATTTAGAATCTACACTATACCAATATGCTTCAACATAAGTTTCCTCTCATACCCAGTGGTTCTGAAGGAAATTTAATGATTTTTCACATATATTTTATTACAACTATTGCCATTGTGGCCCAGCCCTTCCTATTTTAACAATTTTTACATATCCGGACACATAATTTGGGTTTTCTTGCCCAGTGGTTCTCACAGGAAAACATGACCCCACCCTTTTTTGTCTTTTCAGTTATAACCACATGTGAGGGGACTTGGCATTTTATTTTAACAATTTAAATTCCCCTTCACAAGGACCTCTAGTTTATATTAATGTTTCAAATTCGACACTGTATTTGGATCAATTTATTAATTTATTGGCAGGGCATTTATTTGGATACAGTGGTCCATGCTCTTTAGAACGGTGCATTTTTTTCAAACTGATTGTTTGTTTCCGTCCCCAAACTCGGAAGAGAATAAGACGGGGACTAACAGATCACTTTTGCCCTTCTCCCAAAGAAACCATGTACCAACAGTGAATAATAATAGAAGAGTGATTTTTAGGAAATCTTTGAAATGTTTATATACATTAAAAGACAACAACTAAAGACAATAAGTTTCCTAGTAAGGTCTTAAAATTAATTAAAGGGTAAAATGTACATATTTTCACCTTGCAAGTTCACTTTTGACTTGTCTCAACTCTTCTGTTATCGAACTTATTGTGTTATCTTTCTCAGCTGTTTTTCGCTCTGCCTCTTTTGTTATTTCTTTCGTATTAACTTCCAAGCTTTGCATTCTGAAATTTTAACATTGTTTCAGTAATGTATAAAATAATTTAGAGTTATTGCATAATATGTAATGTTTCAGTTGTAGTAATACTTTTAATGATGTTTGTTGATTACATTGAATTATCACTGTGGTAGAGATGAAAAGTATTAGACATTTGAAAAATAACTAATTTGTAATAAATGAACAAGAGGCCAATTGGCCACTTTGCTCACCTTAATAACTTTGGTCATGATTTTCTTTACCAGAATTCCCCCTTGTTATACCTATAGTGAACCCATCTAATACACAGGACACAAGATTTGGACAATTTAGAATCTACACTAACAGAAGAGCTTCCACATAAGTTTCAGTTTTTCTGTCTCATTTGTTCTTGAGAACAATTTATATTATATACACTGTATATAATAGATATTTTGATGTAAAACTTGGATTTCCTATTATGGCCCCGTCCTTCCTCCATGGGTCATGAAATGAACAATCTAGAATCTACACTACTCCTAGATGCTTTATAAAAAATATTAGCTTTTCTGGCCCAGTAGTTCCTGAAAAGAAAATATTTGAATTCCCTACCATGCCCCCCACCCGCAGGTCATGATTTGATCAATTTAGAATATACACTACTCCAGCATTCCTACTCACAAGTTTCGGCTTTTCTGACCCGGTTGTTTCTGAGAAGAAGATTTTTAAAGATTTTTTCCTACATACTGTAATCGTGATTATATTGACGAGTTAAAAAATTTACGATTTTTTTACGAAAATTGACGAGTGTTAATTTTGACGAAATACTTAATCAAGTGTTATGTATCTTTGAGTTCACGGGGATACAAAGGCAGCGCCGGAGCGACTAAAATTTAACTTTTGTACAGACCATCTACAGTGTGTAAGATTGTGCAAACTATCTAAGTGTGTATAAGATTTGATTAAATAAATTGCTCTCTTGTAATTTGTTTTCATTATAAGCGGTCAATTAATTGCCTGAGGTCACATAATAGGTTAAGCATAGCGTGTTAATTACGCGAAGTTACACATGCAGTATTTGATACACTAGTTAAGATTCAATGGTTTTAAAATTGTGATTATATATATAATAATATCACTGTGTTTTCGTAACTAATTACAAAAGATATTACAGTAACTTTGATCTGGTTTTAATAGGGGAAACCCGAGAAAATTAAGCGGTAATGTTGTCCGATAGTCAATGTCTATTGTGACGCTATATGTATGATGTGAAATTTGACGAGTGTAAATTTTGACTAGAAAAGAAAAATCGTCAATATAGTCAAAATTAGCACATCGTCAAAATTTCCACGTTTACAGTATTTCAGAGTAAAAATTGAATTCTCTATTGTGGTCCCACCCTTCGCGGGGGAGGGGAGGGGGTAGAAGTTCACGATTTGAATAATTTAGAATTTACACTATCCCAGGATGCTTCCACATACTAGTAAGTTTTAACTTTTCTGGTCCAGTCATTTTTTAAGAAGATTTTTAATCATTTTTCCTATATTTTTCAATGCAAAACTTAGTTTCCCTGTTGTGGTCCCGCCCTACCCCCGGGGGGCAGGATTTGAACAATTTAGAATTTACACTACCTTATGATGTTTCTACGAAAGTTTCGGATTTTCTGGCCCAGTGGTTCTTGACAAGATTTTTTAATGATCCCAACCTTTTTTTGTCTTTTCGTGATTATTTCCGTCTTGTTAGGGGTTTTAGCCCTTAATTTCAGGTTGAAACTATCCTTCGCCAAAGGATGCTTTGTAACAAAGTTGATAAAAATTGACCCAGTGGTTCTTAAGAAGAAGTTGAAAACGTGGAAAGTTTACAGACGGACAGACGAAGGACAACGGATGACCAGAAAGTTTACTTGAGCTTTCAGCTCAGGTGAGCTAATATGAAAATCCTCTACTTCTGTTGGACACCTTTTGGCTGGATCAAGTCATACTTTTGATATGAAAATCAAAAATATTCATTAAATTATTGTATCTTTTTTCCTTACTTCAACCTTAAATTCCTAATTTCGTCATGCAACAAGCTGTTTTCTCGCTTAATTTTCTCCGTATCTCTTCTAATATTTTCTTCCCTTTCTTTGGTATCCTCTGTCATTTTTAAAATTGTTTCCTTTGACCTGTTATATAAAAAATGATAAAACTTTCCTTGATAGAACTTAGAAATCAAAAATCCTTATTTCCAAAATGCGATGATCATAACGAATTTATTGCAATTGGAGGAACCTTACTTTTACATGAATTTTGAATTAAATGTACCTCTCAAGCTGCTTTTTAAGGCTACTTAGTTCTTTATCTTTTAATACCAAAGTCGATTGCAACATTTGTTGATGGCGTTCTACAATGGATTTTTCTGCAGACACTTCAAGGATTGTTTCCTGGGCATGTGATTGTGTTTCAATCCTTTCACGTTTGAGTTCTTCTAACTCACATTTTAGTCTTAAAAAGGGAAAGTAAAGATAACTTATTCATTGAGAAATTCTATTTTGACTCTACTAAAAAAAACTTTAATCTCTTCTAGAAAGCCATAAAAGATAAATGTTCTCCTTTTTTATTTTCATTTAATATTATAAATGATATTATATAGTGTGTTCAAAACTGTACAACACATTACATCGACACAAATCAAAACTGAATGAAAACAAGAT